AGGAAAGACCTGGATCCGACCGCATTCACGGGTTTTCAAGTGGAGATTTGAAGTTTTTCTGGCATGCTCCAAAATACACCCTCGGCAAAACCTAAAGATTTACGCTCATTTTGGAAGCGGTCTGCAATCATACGAAACTTGCAAAGTTCTAACAGTTCATGCTTCAAGATTCAACATTTTTGGTGCAGGTGGTTAGCCGCATTATGACACATTTTTCGAAAATGTCAAAAAAGGCGCGGTCCGACGCGGCAGACAAGCGAAAAATCGCATTGTCGCCAATGGGTTAACATGTTTTCCCCTTTGTGTTTTCATCTGGCTAACTTCGTGCTTTAGCCTTTTGGCACACGTCAATATTTCTTGAGTGTTCGCCGCGTAGAATCGCGAATTTTTTCTTAATTTTTCACTTAGTCCATTATTCCTGCAACAAATTACATTTGAAGCCAGATTTTTTTGAGAATAAAATTTCTCAATACATTTGTTGAAGTGACATACACTTTTGTGAGCTGAATGACACTATCGCGCTACTTGTTGTGAATATTACACCGATTTCGCCAGAAAGCTTTTCGTGTCTTATTTTCCATGAGTACCACTGGATTCCATAAGTCAGGCCACATTAAGTATTTACTAGGAGATAGGCGAGGGCACAGCTTCTCAAATCACGGTGCATCGGCGCTTCACTCTGCTCAGCGTTGATTTTTTTATTTTGATATGTCCGCACTCCAACCACCCCGTGACTGGCAATCACGATGCTCTACCTGACGCTGTTGAAAAGGGATCTGGATGGAATATAGATGGACTGTCGATCATTTGCTGAAGCAATCTGATGCAACAACGTGGCGCCCCGGCATATCTCCAAAGTCTTGTAAAGATACGGAAATATGGTGTTAAGGATGCCTTGAGACTGAATTCTTTGAAACAAAAGCTCGTTATGTTCGAGTTGAATTTCTATGGTTCCTTTGATAGACCATCAATCATGTCTGTAGGTGAAGAAGTAAGGATGCAGTAAGCTAACAAGCCAATTATCATCGGTAGTCTAGCTCCAACGACTCGGAGCTACCACTGCTAGAATTCTACCTCATCCAAGTTGGGCCTTTCCAGAGTCATGATAGAATACGAGGGGAGTAGAGCACTGGAACCCCTGCATGCGAATGCCTCAGTCAGTGCAGAAGTCAACCGTCCACAGGTCGCTTGGTAGGATTTACTTTTTTGGACACTGTTGTCTCTTGCATTGCTAAAAGCCAAGAAAGCTTCGAGACTCTCGGACTGCGAGTTCTTCCACGTTAGCTTTATAACACGACCTCGTTTTGAGAGATACCCACGGAATGCTCAAGGAGTTTCATAAGCGGCATCCTCACACAGCCAGTAGAAGTATGTGACTACACTACAATGTGCAGGAGATTGGAGCCAGCCGCTGTAACCTCAAAATTAGCCTCATGCGATGGCCGGAGTGGAGAAATTTCCCCGTATTTTGTGGCGCAGGAGAAAAGGACCAAGATTTTGTAACCCATGCACATGCTCCCCCAGTATGCAGAGAATCGCGCTCTAGGAAAGGTGGTTTCCAGCCACTTTCGCATGCCCAACTCATCAACCGACCAGTTTTGTCCCCTGCAAAAATTGGCATTACTGTAGGCGGGACGGACCACATGCACCAAATGCTTCGTTCTGATAAATGGACCCTGGGCTCTATTTTATTCTGCTGTGACAAATAGAAGTCGCCATCATATTACTTTTTTAGTAATTCATTTTTCGGAATTCTGTCAAAATAAAGTTTGCCGAGGAACATGAGCGGCCCTGGCACTATATGCCAGTGTCTCGTAGTGTTACACTTCTGAAGGCGGATTCTAGAGTAAGGTCGAAGAAGGGAAATTTTACCAAATAGATGATACTCGTTTCGCAGCAAAAAGTGTGCTCCTAGCTACCTAGTAAGAGGCGTACGCTCTCGACGTGAAGCCCTCCGGCTCTCCACCCTCTCGCCGTCGTGCTCTAGCCGTCCGAAGCTTGCTGATTAACAGAGACGCAGAGGAGAGATTTCACGTTAATGACATCGCCACCGACGATATTCGCCCCATTGCGGAAACCAAAATGCAAAAAAGAGATGTCATTTTTTTGTGTTCTGGCCATTTGTTAAGTTTTTTCTTAATCTCCGCATCACAGATCCCCTCATCCTTACTTTTAATGGGCGACCACTCTATCTTACAATCCGCTCTGAATGAGCTCGATCGTTTCGGACAACTTGAAGGCAAACAATAAAATTGAATCTGATACCTTGTTAAGACTGCTGGATTGGCTGAATGCTTTGCCGCATACCGTACACAAATGAGGTCTGTGATTCTCGTGAACATGAAGGATGTGAATACGAAGTCGGTCCTTTTTCTCAAAAGATCTGAATCAAGGTTTTTATGAGAATGTTCCATGTCACACTCGTTTCGTTTGGTAACTACCAGAGATTGTTTGCTCATCTGCGTTACATTACGAGCACATACCACTTTCTGTATTTGTGTTGAGACAATTTTCAAAGGGTACAGCAGCGGTGAGCGATGTCAAGAGCACTCCAAACTGTCCAGCAGGATCGTAGGCACTTGAGTTCGAAGTTAATATTTCCCTATCTAGATGCGATGTGGAGGTTTGCAAAGCAAGTGTGCTCGAGTTTATGCAGGACTCTACTTCCCACTTTATGTGCTTGCGAATGCAACTCTAATGAGTTGCTTTTTGGGGTAAAAATGGAGTTTGGGGAAGACCCTATTATGCATCCCGCATGCTAAGGTACACATACTATCGTGATAAGGTTACGACTGCTGATGATTTCAAATCGTCTCGTTGAAGTAAGTTTTTCAATAAGATTGTGTGTAGTGCCTTATTTCGTACCCATACCATTCAGTTTCGACGCTCACATCTCTTGGGGGAACATTCGAAGTAGGGTCGATGGTATAGGTTACGCTAGAACTAAGCCCTGAAAAGGAGCAACCAGAGAAAAACACAAGTTGCTCACGTACTATCTAAGATGCCCTCTCCTCCCTAAGGCTTAGCCTCAAGCATAGTTTATTGGCTCATTCACTTGAACGCTTCCCCTCTCTCCCAACAAAATGAGCGCCACAAGTCCTATCCAACTGATCGCGCATGATTATTATTTCTTCATCTGGGGAGCTCCTCCCCGATCCGCACCCTATCTTAGGCTTGAGCAGAAATATGCACGTTTGGTTCACGATCGTTTCCTAGCACCATTCAAGGCTGATCCAGCTGGTTCTCATTGAAAAATAAACCAAGTGCGGGTTATTTTATCCTTTGCGTTATCAGCGCAGTTTTTCCAGCCTCAGGGCTAAAGAGTCCAGACTTAGGCTTATACTTAGTTCAACAGTTGCCTGATTCAGGCAGATCGGGCGACCGAAACTCACCAGCATTGCCGACGATTTTGCGTAAACGTTTCGTCATGGTCCCTAGAACATCCACGGTCTTTAGGTCTTTGTCGAATGTTTGGCCTCCACATGTTTCTTAGACGGCCTGTTGCATTCCTGGCTCCTGTAGGACCCACTACATGTCCCCTTAACCCTTCGTGGAATGCGATTCGTGGCGAAGAGGGTGAGCACGATGGAATGCACCCTCCCGAAACTCCATTTTCACCGTTTCTGGTCCTCTGGTAGTTACCGTAATACCAAATGAAAGCAATTACCTTGGACAAATCGAGCAAGGGAACTTCCTGTCACCATTATCCACACATCGTGTATATTTGAGATGTTTATCACGATAATAGGAGTAGCTGAAGACTTTTCCACAACGTGCACATGAAAATCCATCGGGGTCTCCGGTGAAGTCCGTCACCACATCTGAAGAAATTCTATAATTGATCCCGAGATCTACTGCTGTCAATTGAGGCGAATCCGCACTCGTATGTACATATGCAGCGTGTTAAGACCTATTATGGCGCAGCTGTTTGACCTCTTAGCTGATGCAGCGCAACGATATTATGTCTCGATCGGGCAGTGTATTAGATGTTTGTGTGGTAGTTCAACGCGCGAAATTGGACATGTAATGAGCTCCTCTCTATGTAGACCCGGGTGGATTACCACACGCCTGCTCGATGTATACGGTAGCTATAGTTAGAATTCTAGCACATCATTCCGCTAATAGAATTAGAGCCGGCTCTATACGAACCAGCCTTCTAAATGGGATATTCGGATCCAGGCTTCCATTTACCGCAAATAATTCCAGGAGAAAACTGAGAAGGGATAAAGCCTTGATAACAGACTAGTAGCATTATAATGATTTCTGATAATAAACTGCGAAATACCTGACGATGATTTTGCATCGAGAGAAAGATCCACGGGTTCTTTGGCGGCGGTCTCTGTGGGGGTTGACGGTGATGAGGCCGTCGCTTTGAGAATAATTTCATCTCCACATCTGATGGCACGTTGCACAACATCTCCTTCGACATTGGCGCTTGAGTTGTCCTTACGAATCACACGCCTCCACGAAATCGGCAACTGAAATCGCCCTGTCATGAATAGTTCTTATGAAATTGTGGAAGAGAATTTGGGGCCATCACGCAGACTCTAGACTAACTGGTACTGGTACGCCGTTTTGAGAGTGGCCCCATGACATTAGTTGCAGTCACATATTCACAAATAAAATCCAGAGCTGGTGCACTTGAGGGGGATGGGGTACCATTGTACGGAGCGCAGCATACCTAGCACGCACCCGCCTTCCTTTAGTCAATGACAAGGCTCAGTTCTAAGGGGGAGGGAAGAGTGGAATAGGAGAGAGACGTGTAAGCAAGTTCCGATTTCCTTGAAGATCCTCTGCTCTTGGGCCCAGTCTGTTAGCGATGCCTCCCTCTGATTACACCAGTGCCTGAAATCCGTTAACTTTGAGGGGAGGGGGAGGGGGAAGCGACAACTTCAACGCATCTGTGTGAGCTTATGAATCGCGACTCGGGCTACTCTACAGAAGATTGAAATCCAAACTTCATCTAGATATCTGCGCAGTGATACAGAGACGATGGCCGTAATTACAAGTGCGTAATTCGTTCGATCAACTTTACTACTTCCCGGGAGACGGGAAAAATGAACCTCCAAATGTGATCCTTTCGAGAACCCTTCTTCCTTCGTACAGATGACAACTGCAAACTTCAAGCATCCGAATCGTATTGAAATGAACATCAATCCAGGAACGTGATGTGCAAATTCAGTTATACTGGAAGAAACTGAAATAGGACTCGATCAGAGAATAATCGAATTCTGATGGTGAACAGTATAAATACTTAAATTATAGCTACTTAGTCACAATATAAATTGAGAATAAGAAATAACTTCATTGGCATTGGCTTTATGTGATCTTTATCACTATGTCCTCGATCTATGATGGCCATGAGTGTACTGTAACAATGTGAGGGTTGCTTTTGGACAGCCGTCTGTAAGCAAGGTTCGGCTGCATAAAGGGACGGCATACGTTTTGTTGTAATTCTATTAGCTACCGGATATCTTAGTGTCGTTTTTCACCCCGAATTTCGG